GTCACGCCAGGATGCTACAGACTGGGACAGCCAGGCAGGTGAGGAGGAAGTCACTGCCCCTTTCCCCCTCTCTCCTGCTCCATCTCCCAGCCCAGCATCCCCCTGGCTGCAGGACAACCTTGTAGCTGATGCCGTCCTATCTTATCTTCTGCTCTGCCCTCCTTCCTCTCCTAATTATGTTCTTCATCCATCCATCTATGTTCTTTTCCCATCTCCTTCCTCCCTGTTCCTTCCTCTCCTTCTGCCTTTTCCTTTATCCCTTCTCGCAGACTCTTCCTCTCCTTGTCCTTCCTGCCCCAGGCACTGAGCAGTGGACAGAAGGTAGCCACAGACTCTTCCTCTCCTTATCCTTCCTGCCCCAGGCACTGAGCAGTGGACAGAAGGTAGCCAGAGGTGAAGAGGCACACAGTCTGTATCTGAACTCTGTATCTGAAGTCCCTGATCAGCAGACTGTCCTCTCTCCACACAGCACACTGGTAACTGAAAGGTGAGGGGATATGCAGTCTGTTGCTGAAGTCCAGCAGCAACTGTCCCCTCTCCTTTCCTTCTGGTAACACCCGAAAAAATTACTCCTTTATTACTGCTTCCCACATGCCAGTCCAGTCCATTACTCTGCAGGCTATGGTGACAAGTCAAACATCGATTAGGGACGTGGTTCCTTTTTCCCCAGCCAGAGCACCTGTCCAGTCCCCTCCACTGTGCCCAGCCTTCCTTTTAAGGGGTGTTTTCATCCCCAAAACCCCCTCCCATGATTCCATGGGTTTCCTTAGTTTGTATCCTAGTCCTAGAATGGCAGTGTGGGTGGGGGTGTAGGTGATCCCCAGGAGCAATTAGCTAATTAACATTTCAATATCAGTACTTAGTTCAAGCCAGCAGTGTTCCAGTATTGCCAGGGGAACCAGGAAGCCTCTTTTCCTCATAACAGAGACCAGGGACAACAAATCCCGGCTGCAGAACCTCATGGAAGAGGCCATTTGGAACAACAGGAATCCAACGGGGAGGAAAAGCCCCAGAGATACCACACAAGGAGGGGCTGCAAAC